AATAAAAGTACAAGTAAAAACATTAAAAATTGGAATAAATAATAAACACCCAGAGCATGAGTGTATCTAAAAACGAGGGGCAGACAGATGTCATACCTCCAGCCGGAACCTTGCAAGCAGCGAAAGGTGGTCGGAGGAATTGGTCTCATTGGGAAGGCCATTGACGCTCCATAAATCTTTTTCAGCAAGAAGGGATAGCCTTCCAAGAAGTTGCAGCCCATCATATGGAACACTGGCTCCTGGCACAAGATGAAGAAACAAAATACAGGAGTTATGTCAAGTGGTGCTTGTGGTAAATATATCTTTGCCGTGTGCATATAGGATGACCCATCTTAAAATGAACCTGTGTCAAGACTACACATGATAAAGTATTTTCAGATTCTGCACAAGCAGTAAAAATACCATAAAAAAAACCAATGCTCACTTCTGTTGCGGTAGGCACTGTGGAGAAATTCACCTGCAAAGTCCACTAAAATCTCAGCTCTTTTATTACTTTCTACTGAGAGAAGATCAAAGCTGTTAGAAAACATCTGAAACCCACTTTAGGTTTTAAAGTTCACATCTGAATGGGTGCGGGAAGATGCAAAATTGTACGCCTTCCCACACCCACAGAGAAAGGCACTGGTGCCTAAGAGATGCGTGTGGTATCATTATTGCTAATGACACCCCCACACACTGGAAACCACTGTGTGATTTTCCATACGGAGAACTGCACTGCACTATGCAGTTTACCTATGGCTGCACTTCTGGAAAAGGTGCAGAGACCTTTTCCCTGTGTTTTCATGAGGTACAGCAGCACAATCAAATTAATTGTCTGAGCAAACACAGCCGCTGGAAACCACCTAAATGTGAACTGGGGATAAGAGTCTCTTGTGATCTTTAAGAATGAATTACTTCACAACAAAAGCAGCTACAAAAAGGTCAAAGCTAGCTTGTTTAAAAGCTCTTTTACTGAATTTTAAAGTGGTATTAAGCACAAAGGTCTATTTTATTGCAGTTTACCAATTCTTAGATATGGTGGCAGAATTTATTTTCTTTTTTAGGCTTTTCTTTTCACTTGGCGATTCAGTCAGTAAGTCTGTTGTTTTTCCACAGAATAAGCAGTCTTATAGATATAGCAGAGGGTTGAGACACATCAGTTAACACCGACAGGGGTTATGTAAAATTTTTATTCTAAAAAGGGAAAAAAAAAAAACTTGTGGTGACTGCTTAAAAAGTGTTAGCTGGGGCTTGGCTTCAATTTGTTAGTGTATCTAAATCTGTTAGTACATCTAACACTCCCTGCTCCCCAGACTGACAATGCTGCTTTCCAAAAGTGACTGTGTGCTCCTTCATTCAGAGTGGGGGCACTCTAATACAAGAGGTGTGTTACTGGCCAGATCACCAGGTAAAAAAAAAAAGAGGAGAAAAGGCCTAAAAAAAAAAAAAAAAAAAAATTAAAAGCCAATGCAGCCGCCACATCCAATGATTGGTAAGCTGCAATATATTACCTTTTTGGGTTTAATCTTGCTTTAAGAATATGTAACTTTGTGCAATCTGGGCATAAATTGACATTAACTTAAAATTTTGGTTTGAGTTCTCAAGTCTAGAAGATGTCTAAAATCAAATGTATTAGCCAATAAAGGATATCAATTAAACTCCAACATTTCTAATAATTCAATGTGCTAATTTCATATTCATTTGACAATACAGAGAGAGAGTTGGAGTCTCTCATAAAAGAACACAGTAGTTGTGCAGCCCCTTGAACCTAATGCAGAACTGTACTTAGAATCTCATAAAAAAAATGTTTGGTATACAAGTCTTTTTTTTGGCAAAAAAGAAATTTAAATTTTTATTTTTTATATATATATTTACACACACACTACGATCCAATGGCTGAAATAAGAACAGTGCTGGATGCTGAAAAAAGACCAGAAAAGATGGCTACAACCAAAACCAGAGTGACAAGGGAGCGTGGACCTTGGATTGCTGAAAGAGAACATACTAGGGTATACGTCTGCCACAATCTGCAAGGATGCTATTCATATGTGAATGTTATGGCAAGAGATCATAAGAAGCTTTAAGAGCAAAGATCTCATCAGCAGTTCTTCAGAGATATCAACAAATAGTCGGAGGTTTAACTCCTTAGCAATTACAAAACACTGGATTACAGTTTTGGGTAGCATGTAAAATGTATTTTAGCAACACAGACAACTCTTCCTCTGAAATGATTTATGTATGTGAAACAATCACAGTTCTTGTGCGCCATCTAGTGAACATTTTTAAGAAATTAACCTCCAGATTCACCAAAATAATTTTTGGACAGTTTTTACATTTATAAAATGATAATTTATTGCTAATGTGTAAATGAAGATAAAAAAACATGGAGCTTCAATAACTTTTTTTGCATTAAAAAAAAAAAAAAAAAAAAACCTTTTAGCCCCACTCTGGATATCTTTACTGTGTGGCAGAGTCTTTACAGCTCAGGTCCTCTCATTTCTAGTTTTTACAGTGCATAAAAGTATTGATCATTAACAGATCTATCATAAAATAGTGGGCATAATTCAAGTTTTACCTGGCTGGGAAAAAAGGGCTGCAGAATAGAAAATGTAATCCACAGTGACGGCAGATTTGGAGTGGCAGGTGGTAACCTCTGGCACCCCAGAGTCTGGGAAGATATGGGAATACACTGAGGAAAAGCTGAAGTTGTGGTGCAGATTGGATTCCTCCCTGATAGAGAAAGAGATCATTTAAAATCAAGTCAATTGAGTCAAACACAAAGCTGTGTATCTCCACCCTCTAGGTCCAAAGACTCAATCGGTAACGAGTGGTTACTGATCAAGTTATCAACATGTTAAACCTTTTACTGTCACAGCATTTCATATTCTATTAATTTCTGCAGGAATGTCATGCAGCAACATGATCTGGGTGGCTGTAAGGCTACCCAATCACTTCTACACAATGACACTATGGGGTTGATTTACTAAAACTGGAGAGTACAAAATCTGGTGCAGCTGTGCATGGGAGCCAATCAGCTTCTAACGTCAGCTTGTTCAATTAAGCTCAACTAAAACCTAGAAGCCGATTGGTTTCTCTGCACAGCTGCACCGGATTTTGTACTCTCGGGCTCTAGTAAATCAACCCAAGCGTGTATCCCACCCTCGTGTTCCCTCTCCTGGGGATGCTACTGAAGGGTTCAGGATGCGGAGCATAGATCAGTAAACTCACATACCCATTACACAAGTTAAAAATGCACTTGGTCACATTTAGTCCACTTACCTTCTTATTATACAGATATAAATTGAGGTTTTTAAAAATCAGAATACATTGATCAGTGCTGCACCCGATCAAAAAAGGAAAATTTTTCAACAAAACAGTTTGAGAGGCCAAATCATTAGATCCACTTTTCTGGAATGAAAACGGCCAGCTTAGGAAGACAATAAAATGATCCCACACCCAGGAGATGACAGTGCTGGTGGTACAAGGTAGAACAAGTTTTGGAGAAGCTGCACATCTGGACCAAAAGCCTGTAGGTGCAGTAAAATACTCCCCATTATCCCCAATCTACAGCCAAGGACGTTGTGGATACAGACATACCTGTAATGGGATGCCTCTGTCTGTCTGTAAGCATACCTAACAGCTTCTTCTTTCAGTCTGTCCTCTAGGAATAGAAAAGAAATGCAATTAAACTGAAGTCATCCAAACAAGGGTGGCCAAAGGCAGCTCAATAAAATCCACTGATGCAACGGATTTGATCTCTCAAAGTGATGGTCTTTCATTTTCCGTGAGATGTCGGTCTGGTTATTCCAAGAAAAAGGGCCTTGCGGAAGTCAGGTTTGTTTACACAGAATGTTATGCTTCCTTTTGAAAAGTCAGTATATAAAATGACCCTTTTAAATGGCTCAAAGACAAAAATCAAGCCATCTATGTCCAGCTTACTTTTTCAGCTGCTCCTTCCATTGCCATCTCCTTTTTGTCCTACAGCTGGCAGGAAGGAGAGGCGTAAAGAGTAAGCCTTCTTTTACAAAAAGGAGCACTGCATGTCAATGCACAGGGAAGTCTGTGGGAAAAGTCAGTAAAAGGTGAACTAGCCCTTTAAGAAAAAAAAATTGCAATGCCCATAAGTACATTTGATAGTCTACAAATTGATCCCTGGGTTCCTCTGAAGTCCCACTGGATCCTTGACTCAGACTGTACATAGGGTCATAAAGCCGGCCCCCAGTCTCCCACCAAAAAAAAAATAAACGTCAGCAGCTACAAATACTGTAGCTGCTGACTTTTCATATTAAGACACTTACCTATCCAGGGATCCAACGGTGTCCTCACCAAGAATCGATTCTTCATATTGGCTGTCGGGTGCTGGGCCCGCCATCCTAGGAAACCGGCTGTGAAGCCACAAGGCACATGTGAGAAGCACGCTGTGCTCTGTGAATGGACAGCAGTCCTCTTGGACCTGTGAAATGTCCCATAGGGTTGTGGGGGGGATCTGCCGCAGCAATCTGAGATGGAAGTGGGAACCTCTCAAAACTAGGTACCCACTCCTCCCTCCCCCACAAAAGGTGCCAAATGTGGCAGACGAAGGGGGAGGGGGAGGGAGGCAGATGAGCAGACTTTTGGGTGGAACTCTGCTATAAGCCGATACTGTGATTCAGTGTCAAATGTCAGACATTCACTATGCAGAAGATGCAATTAAATAACTTAACACTTGTAAGTCCTATGATCCAAGGGGCGCAAAGATATATTTGAAGATTTGCCTGACTCTGGATGGCTTCAATACTTCTAGAATCCTTACAAAAAAGCAAGAAAGCAGCCAGTGAAAACAGAACTCTTGGTCCCCTCCCCCCCAAAAAAAAGCATTAACATGACATCCAGGCCAAGAGCATTTTCAGAAAGTTCATTAATGCCAGCCTCTCTCTTTTGCTTGGACAGGTTTACAAGTGTAATTTCCCATAGGCACATATATAAAGAACCACCCCTTACAGCTCTTTAGGAAAGCTCACTTAAATTAGAAGAATTAAAGTTTAAGACAGTACTGAACCTCTTCTCTTCTGGGCTTCATACACACACGTCTGATTGATGCCCAAGCTTGTTGGCCAAATTGGAATAGATAAAATCCTTTGTCCTGAGGTGTATTGTTCCTGCCCAGACACCTATATAGACACAAAAAAAATGCAGAATTAGGAGATACATACACCAGCCACTTTATTAGGTACACCTCTTCAATTGCTTGGTAACACAAATCACATGGCAGCAACTCAATGGATTTAGGCATCTAGATGTGATGAAGACGACTTGCTGAAGTTCAAACCGAGCATTTGAATGGGGAAGTAAGGGGATTTAAGTGACTTTGAACGTGGCATGGTTGTTGGTGTCAGACGCGCTGTTCTGAGCATTTAAAAAAAACAAAAAAAAAAAAAACTGATGATCTACTGGGATTTTCACGCACAACCATCTCTAAGGTTTACAGAGAATGGTCTGAAAAAAAGAAAATATCCAGCGAGTGGCAGTTGTGTGGATGAAAATGCCTTGTTGATGTCAGAGGAGAATGGGCAGACTGGTTTGAAATGAAAGAAAGGCACCAGTATCTCAAATAACCACTCGTTACAACCAAGGTATGCAGAATAGCATCTCTTGTATCAACGGTTCAGGCTGGTGGTGGTGGTGGTGTAATGGTGTGGTGGGATATTTTCTTGGCCCTAGCAAGGTGTACCTAATAAAGTGACTGGTAAGTATGTATGGGATGGGATCCTTGAAATGGGTCAGTATTTTTCTATCAACAAGGTCTAGGCGTTGAGAGGTCTTGATCCTGGGGTCCTAAGTTATTGCATTAAGGAGTTCAGACAGCAATAAAATAAATATTGAATTAATCTAGAATTGAAGCACCACACAGGTATTCCCATACAGATACAAGTTTATTCCAATGACATTTGAAACGCATTTTGGAGGCTGCGACTCTGCCCCTTTCATCAGGGCTTGATGAAAACATGATAGAATGATAGAAACAGTGTATGCTGATGGACGCTGTGCAAACTGCAATTCTTCATTAAAGTATAACTAAAGGCAAAACTTTTTTTTTTAGTTTTGGACAGAGTGAAGATGGATTACAACCCCTGTCAGTTTTTATTGCTGTCTGTTCCCCTGTTAAAGAGATTCTCCCTCTCTAATTGTCCTGTTTTTACCATTATCAGTGAAAGTAAGACATAAACCCACAGTTTGGGTTGTCACAGAAAAGTAAGAGGAGAAATCTTCCAATGGGGACATTAGTTCCAGTGACCTGGGGGATCCCAAGGGATTCCCTAATTTACAGGGATTTCCTCTCATTTCTTGTTTTGGCTATGGGAGAGGAAGGGAGATCTCCCCAATGGGACACAGGTGGCAGAAATAAAAAACACAACTAAGGGGGGTTAGAACACTCCCTTACACTATTCAAAAATGAAAAAAAAAAAGTTTTGCCTTTAGTTCTACTTTAACACCAAACTATATATTGATTATTGAGTCCACATACACTGTTGCTTTGAAACATTTTCCTGGGTTCTGATGCAGGGGGCAAAGTTACAACCCCTGAAATGGGCTGGATTTATAAACAGACACTCACTAAAAAAAAACTTTAATTTGTACTTTAAAATTGAGGCACTACAATGCAATATCAGATTCATTCAGGTTTTTATTGCGGTCTGTGCCCCAGCTCGGAAGATTCACCCTAGTTGACTATTGTCTTTGGAACTAAAAGTGATGGGAAATCAAACATTTGTCACCAGAACAGGAACAGAGGAGAAATATTCTAATGGGGACATTTTATCCAAATGTCTAAGAGGATTTCCATTACTTAGGAGAGATTACTCACCCTTGCTGTGTCTACAGGTCAAGACGTAAAAAAGAAACATAACAGTAGGGGTTTTAACCATTTCCTACTCTATCCAAAACTAGAAAAATAATATCAGGGGTTGGCAATCCCCGGCACATGACAGACACTGCACACAGCATTACTTTGGATGGCATGGGAGAGCAATCCTGGGAGAACCATCTCCCACACAGGAAACCCGGCCAGCCAGCAGCTGTAGCTGCTTACAGGGAAAGCAGTGTGGCTGGTTCACACCCACCTCTCCTCCCGCCAGCTTTGGTTCACCATTCTCAATGTGCAGAGAAGCAATCAGATTCTACAGGCAACTCTCCCTTTGAAATGGTAATTACCATTGTAATGTTACGCAGTCTTTTAGCCTGAGCCAACCCTAGCCAGGTTTTTCTGATTGGTGATCACATGCTGTCTCCTTTTTCTAACTGGTGTACGCTTGGTCCTCTGCCTCAGCAGCCGTGCACCTGGCTCAGGCTGGAGGGGAGATCATTATAGCCAGAAAAGCCGAGGCTTTGTATTTAACTGAATTTCTAAGTACTAATTTATTACAGGCTTCGTAAGTACTACCAAGCAGTACTTACAAAGCCAGTTATACTTACTACTTTGTGCCTGCCTTTGTGACTATGGCTCTGTGAGTACTGCTTTGTACCTGGCTTTGTGAGTACAGCTTTGTGAGTACTGCTTTGTGCCTGGCTTTGTGAGTACAGCTTTGTGAGTACTGCTTTGTGCCTGGCTTTGTGAGTACTGCTTTGTGCCTGGCTTTGTGAGTACAGCTTTGTGAGTACAGCTTTGTGCCTGGCTTTGTGAGTACAGCTTTGCGAGTACTGCTTTGTGCCTGGCTTTGTGAGTACAGCTTTGTGCCAGGCTTGGCGAGTGCGGCTTGGTGCCTGGTTTTCTGCATGCGGCTTTGTGAGTGCGGCTTTGTGAGTGCTGCTTAGAACTACAACATTATAACAGGGTTTGGTAACTGGTTCTTCAGAAATTTTATTTGTTCTAAAAGTACTAGTTCACAAACCTTGTTGTAAGGTTACTTTAACATGGGCATTTAGCTACTGTATGAATGGCAGCAGCACAAATCTGCAGATTCCTGTTGCTGCCTTTGACACCTGTGTGGGACTAGCTGTGAGACACTTTGTGTGCATCCAGCAGCAATCACAGCAGGCAAAAGGTCTGAAGGCGCAGGCAATGGGGCTGACCTGCAGTCTGAAGACGCACGCACTGGGGCTGACCTGCAGTCTGAAGACGCACGCACTGGGGCTGACCTGCAGTCTGAAGCTGCACGCACTGGGGCTGACCTGCAGTCTGAAGCTGCACGCACTGGGGCTGACCTGCAGTCTGAAGCTGCACGCACTGGGGCTGACCTGCAGTCTGAAGCTGCACGCACTGGCGCTGACCTGCAGTCTGAAGCTTCAAGAATTGAGACTGATCTGCGGCATGAAGATGCTGGAATTGGGGCGGATCTACAGTCTAAAACTGCAAACATTTGGGCTGATTTGAGAAGTGAAGGTGCAGAACTTGGTGTGATATGGAGGTGTGTTGGTGTAAGAATTGGGGCTGATCTATGGTCTGATGCTGCACGCATTGGGGCGGATCGGAGGTCTGGTGCTGCACGCATTGGGGCGGATCGGAGGGCTGATGCTGCACGCATTGGGGCGGATCGGAGGGCTGATGCTGCACGCATTGGGGCGGATCGGAGGGCTGATGCTGCACGCATTGGGGCGGATCGGAGGGCTGATGCTGCACGCATTGGGGAGGATCGGAGGGCTGATGCTGCACGCATTGGGGAGGATCGGAGGGCTGATGCTGCACGCATTGGGGAGGATCGGAGGGCTGATGCTGCACGCATTGGGGAGGATCGGAGGGCTGATGCTGCACGCATTGGGGCGGATCGGAGGGCTGATGCTGCACGCATTGGGGCGGATCGGAGGGCTGATGCTGCACGCATTGGGGCGGATCGGAGGGCTGATGCTGCACGCATTGGGGCGGATCGGAGGGCTGATGCTGCACGCATTGGGGCGGATCGGAGGGCTGATGCTGCACGCATTGGGGCGGATCGGAGGGCTGATGCTGCACGCATTGGGGCGGATCGGAGGGCTGATGCTGCACGCATTGGGGCGGATCGGAGGGCTGATGCTGCACGCATAGAGGCTGATCTGTGGTCTAAAGCTACATGCGTTTGGGACAATCTGCAGTCAGGAATTGGGGTGATCTGAAGTGTGAAGTTGCAGGAATTGAGGTGATCTGAACAAGGGTAAGTTACCATTTAATTTTACCACTTTCCATTGATCTTTGAAAGCTCCATATTAATTACGAACATTCAAGTACTTTTTCCTTTTCGCGATCACTATCAGTGTGAAGTTGATTTTTTTTTCTTTAAATATAAAATCGGCAATTTCTGTTATAATATTCTTTTGGCACACTATGCTCAAAAGTTGCCTACCCCTTTTATATATGTTCTAAAGACAAAAATATGTAACAAATAATTGACTACTGTTAGTATTTAATACATCTGTTGCCGGAGGAAAAAAAATATACATGCCACAGGCTCACCAACAACCACACTGGCATCATAAATTTGACAATGCTGCATGCAAGAAAATGCCAGGGGCTGGAATTTATTTTTTGTAGCGAATGGATGCCTGGTGCTAGCTCCATTACAGAAACTACTTCAGGGTAAAAGGGTAAACTAGAACTATTTTGTGGGGAGGGGTTTTGTAAACTTTATATAACAGAGCTTCTAAAATCTATTTTACTGCATACAAAAAATATGTAACCAATACATAGTGGCCCTTTAAAATGAAATTACTTTTTAAATGGCATAAGGGTAAGAACTTCTGTTGACTTGGTACTACTGTATGTGTCTCTATTGGTAAATTTCCCTTCACTTCCTGTTCTCATGGCATGTGGTCAATAGAGCAGAAATTGAGAAGAAATCACAAGAATACTGGAAGGTCTTGACAGTGTATGAAACATGTACTTACCTTCCCAATGGTCATCCCCCCATAATTGAGCCTTCCTTCCTTTATAAATCTAAGCAGTGGGGAGCCAGGAACAGAGTTGAAGTCCCCACAGAGGATGATGGGGCAGAATTTCCCATCCTGCATTTTAGCGGCCTCGGTAATCTCTGCCAGAAGAATAGCCAGCTGGGTGAGCTTTATGTCTCCTCTTCTGGGGTTATAGAGCAGATGGGTGTTTGCCACGCAGATGGTTGGTGCTTCCCTCTCCAGCTTGGGTTGTAGCATTAGCAGCAGGCCTATGTTGTCCCGGTCTAGAAGAGCAATGTTCCTCCTGAAATATTCCACTGGTTTCACCAACATCAAGTTGAATTTTATCGGATTTGAAGCAAATGGCACAGCCATCTGGTTTGCTCCCGGTGCGAGCCTTGAACTCACAGAGGTATCCTGAAATACAAAACGTATCCTATTCAGTATATGTCACATCAAACCTGGTAATACAGTGACAACACTTTCCAAGAGTTAAACTAGAAGATCCATTTTAATCTTACATTGTTAGGAGTGATGTACCACTACTAAATCTTTTAGACTTCAGAGTTTATACAGACAACCCATTCATTTCAGTGTAATTCAAAAGAACTTGGTGACCCAAACAAGAAGTTGCCTGTCCTTTTATTGGATAGGTACAAGCTAGATGAATGAATATATGGACATAAGACGATCGATAAGCCATGAAACTACAAATTTCAGATGCAACATGTGAGATAATCATTATAAAAAGGCAAGGCGAACAAAACACAGGGGATAGGACTACATTAAGGGCTCGTTCACACTTGACTGTTTTCTAACTTTTGTCAAACCCCCATATAGCATTTGACAAGCGTTGGTCCAGCGTTTGCGTTTTTTAACGCTCCGCAAACGCCACATGCGCGGTTTAGCGGCGGTTGCTAAGTGTTAACACCCCACAAACGCCTATAATGAAGTTTGAATGGTGTTAACGCTCCGCAAATGCCCCGCAACCGCGTCGCAACTGCACCGCAAGACTTGAAAAGGGGGCTTCAACTCCGCCTGACTCGACCAGAGGCGTGCGTTTTACCGCGACGCTAACGTTCCCGTGTGAACAGCACAATGTGCTGTAATGTGCAGAATTTTTACAGGCGTTTGGGAAACGATAAAAACGCTTCCCAAACGCCTGTCTGCCGCTTGCATACAAGGCTAGTGTGAACGTAGCCTAATACCTATTTAAAAAACATTTTAAAAGTGTACAATGCCTTTAAAATATAAAGTATATATTTCTCATAACAGATATACAGGTGCTACCTTTCTGCAGTAATGATGTTTCCTGATCTGGACAGCCTGCAAAACTGATCTGGTATGGACATCACGCTGCAGCTGCCGATCTGAGCACAATATTGGTTAACTGTTACCAAATAGGGAAATCCCAAACAGACTTAGAAGAAAACAAGCCTGATTTATTTTACATAAGCAGATTACTACATTTAGCAAAACAAAAAGGGGAAAAAATAAGTATCTAAATGCTCCATACCAAGTGCTTCCAAGCTGGGTTTGATTTGCTCCTGGTAGTGATCTTTCTGAACTTCTTGTAAACATAAAATCTAGAAAAGCAAAAATAATAAATTATGGGGAATGTGTAAATAGTGATGATTTACTGATTCACCAATTATTTGAAGTTGCCAGAAAATTTACCAATGCATCTCACATTCACTTCCTGCAGCTGGAGAAGAGTCACACTATAGATATGCTATGTGGCCAAATGTCTGTAGATATCTGACCATCACACATACACTATACGGCCAAAAGTAGAGGGTTCAGATGTCTCCAGTGAAGGGTACAGTTAGATCTACAGCATGCAAAGGACATTAAATACAATTGTGCTCTTCCAAGCCTCTGGCAACAGTTTGTGGAAAGTCCTTTTTCTTCTCCAGCATGACTGCGCCCCCATGCATAAAGCCAGTTCGATGAGTTTGGTGTGGAGGAATTCAATTGGACAAAACAGTGCCCTAACCCTCAACATTTTTGGAATGAAGTAGAAATCAGACTGCAAGTCAGGTCTTTGCCAACATCAGTACCTGCGCCCTGACCTCCACTTCCCAGAGGAGTGGAGCCTGTTAAAGCCACAAAGCCAGGGGGCAACTCCCATGATTCGGGAATAGGATGTCCAACAAGCTCATATAGAGGTTATTGCCATGTGTCTACATACGGTTTTGACCATATAGTGTAAAATGGTTTTAAAGTAGAAAGTCCAGTAAATATTAACTGTAGTCTTTGAGAAAGAGGGGAAAAAAAAAAAGAAGATATTTAGGTCCTAATTTCAGCTAACTTGCAACAGAACATTTAGGGAATTCAGATGGCAGGGAAGGAGAAACACATGCTACCGTATTTGCCGGCGTATAAGACGACTGGGCGTATAAGACGACCCCCCTACTTTTCCTGCTAAAATGTAGTGTTTGGGCTATACTCGCCGTATAAGACTACCCCTCTTCCAATGCACACCAGTGGGAGGAATAGTGCCCCATCATTGATGTCAGTGGGAGGAATAGTGCCCCATCATTGGTATCAGTGGGAGGAATAGTGCCCCATCATTGGTATAGTGGGAGGAATAGTGCCCATCATTGATGTCAGTGGGAGGAATAGTGCCCCATCATTGGTATTAGTGGCAGGAATAGTGCCCCATCATTGGCATTAGTGGCAGGAATAGTGCCCCATCATTAGTATCAGTGGAGGAATAGTGCACCATCATTGGTGTCAGTGGCAGGAATAGTGCCCCATCATTGGTATCAGTGGCAGGAATAGTGCCCCATCATTGATATCAGTGGGGGGAATAGTGCACCATCATTGGTATCAGTGGCAGGAATGGTGCCCCATCATTGGTGTCAGTGGCAGGAATAGTGCCCCATCATTGATGTCAGTGGGGGGAGGAATGGTGCCCCATCATTGGTGTCAGTGGGGGGTGGAATAGTGCCCCATCATTGGTGTCAGTGGGGGGTGGAATAGTGCCCCATCGTTGGTGTCAGTGGGGGGTGGAATAGTGCCCCATCGTTGGTGTCAGTGGGGGGTGGAATAGTGCCCCATCGTTGGTGTCAGTGGGGGGTGGAATAGTGCCCCATCGTTGGTGTCAGTGGGGGGGAATAGTGCCCCATCGTTGGTGTCAGTGGGGGGGAGGAATAGTGCCCCATCGTTGGTGTCAGTGGGAGGAATAGTGCCCCATCGTTGGTATCAGTGGGAGGAATAGTGCCCCATCATTGGTATCAGTGACACCAATGATGGGGCACTATTCCTCCCACTGAGACTTGCTGACCCTGTTCTCGTATGGTGCTGCTGCAGCCAGCATATGTGGTTGCAGCAGCACCTCTACACAGCACACTTACCTGCTGCTCCGGCACTCAATTTTCGCGGGGGCCGCTCGGCTCCGCCCCCCTCGCCGGTGATTGGCCACCTGTGTGCCTTTCCTGAGCTACAGTTCTGGCGGCCAATCACCGGTGAGGAGGCGGAGCCGAGCAGCCGCACGAACATCCAGTGGCCGAACTGAAGGAGACGCCGCGCTTCCTGGACCGGATCGTCGTGGGACTGGATCCAGGTAAGAGACATCAGCCCCTGCAAACCCCTGTACTTAATGCCGCAGCCCCCCTAACATGTGTACCGGCGTATAAGACGACCCCCGACTTTTGAGAAGATTTTCAAGGGTCAAAAAGTCGTCTTATACGCCGGCAAATACGGTATGTTAAAAATCTGACCAGTAATGAACATAACAAATGGTCAAGTGGCAGCATATATGGCATTTGTACCCACATTTGTTTCTAAAACCTGGGATGCTTATTCTTCACATCATTCAGCAAATGTAAATGTGGACATTTGCCGTAACCACCCCCCTCACCCACCTGCTTCCCACACCTCTGCATTAGTCCTTCAACATGATGAGCAACGTTACTGACCAGTATTATGGGGTGGCAGACTGAAAGGCGCAGATCAGAGCTTTGACTTTAAACCTGCATTTCATATGGTCACTCTACCATCCTTAAAAAGAAAGTAAGGAATATGTTTGATCTGCATAGATTGCCAGAATTTACCTTGCACAACATCTTGTGGCCCTTTCTCCCAGCATGCAGTGCTTGGCCCTGAGCAGACAACTGTCAGACCCCAAACAAACACTGTCACACTGAGGAGGGGAGAAGGTCATTAATATCCAAGGTTCTTTTCAGGCAATTTTAATATGATTTTCACAGTTTTAAATTTTTGTTCTTCTAGATTTCTGTTATTGTATATGACGGAGAGAAAAAACAACGGATGCCACAGGAGACAATACTTGAGGGATTATAACTTTGGAACAATTTGAGTTTACAGAAAACTTTTGGCCTGAAAGTTTACAGGTAAAATACTGGTCAGTCTTACATCAGCATTCATCTCCTCCAGCTCCCTAAGGATGTTGGGCAGCCGGTAGTTCCAGAAGAGGTGGGGGCGCCGGCAGTGGCTGTACAGGCTCGAGTTATCTTCCAACAGGTCTTGAGAGAGGATATTATAACACAACACGGAAAAATCAAACTTTCCTCTTCCTCTGGATGGCTCACAGTACAGGTGACTGAAGTCCTCCCACTTCCTCTTCGTTGTAGTTTCTGCTAACGAGAATATTCATTACATATTCCTATTACATCCATTTGTGTATTATCATAATTGTCCTAACAGTGAGATCTCCCTGTCACAATTCTCAAATATTCCTGTTCTCCTAGGAGTTTTTGGTATTGCAGCACATCTTTGTATTTTCCAGCTCATTCTGTTGTATTCCCTACAATAAGAGATAAATAAAAAAACTCTAGGCAAGATGGAGGGAGTCCCTCATAACACCCACAGCAGATGTGCAGGCCCAAGGACCCACCAACAGAGTCCCCAAGAAATGAGAAACTGTCTTGATTTAACATCCCAGCATCTGCCAAAGCGGAATATTAGTTTTTAGTTGCCTGTCCCTTTGTCTGTGAGTCATTTAAAAAAATGTTAAAACCTAAACTGGTAAATACAGCAAAGATATAGCATATACAATTGATACACAAGCGCTTTTGTAATTTAAAGTAGTATTAAACCCAAAAGCAAACTGTTATATTGCAGCTTACCAATTCTTAGATGAGATGGCTGCATTAGTTTTCTTTTTTAGGCTTTCTTTCCACCTGATGATCCAGTCAGTAAGTCTGTTGCTTTTTCAAAAAAACAAGCTGTCCTGCAGATATAGCAGTTACATGGGATAAGACAAACCATTTAATGCTAACAGCAGTGCTTACAATGATCAGCTTTGGTTTATATAAATCCTTTATCCCAAAAGGAAAAATCTGTTTGCTGTAACTGCTTATAAAGTATTATCTGGAGTCTGGCTGCAATTTATTAGTGTATTTAAATCTGCTAATACATCCAACACTCCCCTCTCTCAAGACTGACAATGCTGCTGTCCAAAAGGTGCCAGAGTGCTACTTCATTCAGCATGCATCACTTGAATACTGGAGGTGTCTAACTGGCCAGATCACCAGGTAAAAACAGGAAAAAAAGCTAAAGAAAAAATGAATGAAGCCACCACATCTAAAACCATGTTAATGTTAGTAAAAAAAATACCTTTCCATTTCAATATGCAGTGATTATAATTTTATGTAAAATTACACCAGAAATATCACTTTTAGTGAAGTATTCCCCAAGCCCTGGTTCACACCGGTGCAACATGATTTACAAATCGCACCCGAAGTCGCATCTAATGTCATTCTATGGCACCGTCTTAATCCATGCGAATCGAAGTAGCGCAGTTTCAAAAATAGTTAATGTGCCTTTTCCCCCAATTTCATTGCACCTTGCATTGACTTCTGTTAAATGAAATCGCAGTAAAATCGGTCAAGCGAAGTAGTGTGATTTCAAAGTTGCATTCAGCGTGGACCAGGGCAAAGGGTTAATTGCTCCTAGAAGGATGCTGAACCTGCAGCTTTTTTCAGCAGAACACTGAAAGTGAACCAGCTGATTATAATGGACACATACCTCCCATTCAAAACCAGCTTCCAAGGGACAGTGAAACCAACAGCTATTTCTGCGGTGCAGAAACAGCAAAATCTACAGCAAAGCTTGTTAAAATCATTGCAATGTATATTGATCATCCAGAGATTTTTTTTCTGTGTTACCTTATGATTCTTGTTTCATTCAAAAAGGTACAGGAATCATAAAAAGGTGCCAACTACTATATTTTCCTAACCAGAAAATGTTCTTCTATATGGTCCTTTGACCTTGTGTGCATTGTTACCAAGGGCCAGACTTCTAGGGCTAAATCCTAAAGTCACAACCTTCCAGGGGACCCCAAATGGGAATAAGGGTGCTCCCGCTGGATAGTGGGATCCCAGCTGGGTGACAGATTTCAAATTTTATAGCTACTGTTTCTTATATGATAAGCTATTTGCATATGGCAGGCTCTGGTGCTGCTGTTCTCCTAGGAAGAAGCTATCCGTTACAATCTTACTAGCTGGGAAGAAGCTACATTCAGTCAATTTGACATCCTGTTCCACAGTACACAGCTGGGTTACAATGTCACCAGCCTTACCTCTGCCCTCTGGTTGGGGACTGGCCGACAAGCCTGATGGATCCTGTGCTGGAGGAACACTGAAGTCATTAGCTGGTGGATAGGATCGCTTTGGCCACAATTTCCTCTCACAGTCCTTACTCTCCGTGCTTTTTCTTTTCCTAATTGCTTCATCCCCTGTAGAGTTCATATTATATTGTGAAATGTGAATCCACGATGGATGGCCAGGGGCCCAGGGCAAACAAGGGGGACCAAGGAATGCTGGCGTCCGAGGGCAAGGGTAGGGTCTGAAGTATTCCTGAGGATGCCAAGTTCTGACAGGCTGGTGAAAATTCTGAGGATAATACGTGGGATTCTGAGGATAATATGTGGGATTCTGAGGATAATATGTGGGGTTCTGAGGATAATATGTGGTCCACCATGGACATCTAGGAATGTCTCTATTCACACACGAGAACCGGGATTGCCCAGTGTGGGCAATATACCTGCTGCCCACACTCTGTAGATGCCGCGGGAACATCGGAGTCCCTGAAGAAGAAATCATCCATGAATGGTCAGTAAAACACAGAAATGTATATACAGCATTAAATACATTTAGTAGAGCAGCCAGCATCATTAATGTACAGAGCTTTTGCCCTGGGTTAATTTCCTACCAAGAATGCTACAAATACAGTTTAACATGTACTGAAAACGTGTAAACTCTGCAGGGTCTTGGCAGGTGAATTTAAAGTCAGCCTCTTACTTTTCCCATTTGGGGAAGGGTGGGGGCAGTGGATTATTAAAGAATATGTAAATAAAACATTTAATATTCCTGATATGTGCCTCCTGTACCATGTATTTGTATGAAAAAGTATCCTTTTCTCTTTGTATTGCTTCCTATATCTGAAATCCCTGGTGTTCCCCGCCAGTCTCTCTGCTTTCCTGTTAAACACTGACCACACTAGGCAGGAGATCACAGCATGGTCAGTTTGCCAGGGTTGTGCTGGGAACGCAGTGTTTCCTCCAATAAACACACTTTTTCTCACATGTCCCCCATCCTTGCACAGCCATTAATTGGGAAGACAAGTGTGCGGTTTCTCCTTCCCTACCTCTCTGTTCTCAGTTGCATAAGAAGCATAGAGGGTATGTGTGTGGTCACTTATAAAACAGGGAAAAAAATGTATTTTTTTATTTTTTTTTTTATATCTATACACAAATATTTTGCCTTTAATTTGTATTTTAAAATAAATTGGTTGTTTAAAAGGTGAGAGTTTACATATACTTTAAGAGATATCTGCAGCTCCCCTCCACATAGGATTGAACTGAGAAATGACTGCAGCTTTACTGACAAAATCGTGTTGAATGAGGCTGCAGGGGGCAGGTCAATGTACAGCATACATGTAACCACAGTCACACTTTAAGAGCTGGGTTTGACAAGATTTGCTATGTATTAAGCGCCACTGAAAATAATGGCACCTGAACCTGTGTTTTGTGATGACAGCAATTCTGCTGCAATCCCAGAACACCCAAGTGTGAATGGAACCTCCCTGGTTCACACATATGCGATTCTGGATTCATTTTAAAAAACTCACAGATTCCCATAACAGGCTAGATATTGTGTTCCTATTGAAGTGGTTCACACAGATGTGATCCACACGTGTTTTGAATGACATTATGAAAAGGGTCCTGTTCGAGTTTGTAGCGGTGCGTTCCAGACTCGCAAGTGATAGAGTCGAGTGACATACAGAGATAGGTGTTCCCAAAGGATTGCTATGGACAGGAGCTTTTGCATGGAAGTCTATGGGGCACGCCTTCCCATAGAAGTCTAATGGGAGGCAGTGTGTGTGTGTGAACCGTGGCGCCAGGACACAATTTCTAGTTGCCATTGCGACCTGGCGCCTTGGATTTGTCGAACCCTGCTTTAAGGATAACGAATATCTATCATAAATGCAGGTGCAATATCACACTTCTGTACTTGTGAAAAGAAAAGTCCAGTGGAATTTTTTTCCCATAAAATGCAAAAGGGGTAAAAGATTGGGGGATATCCTGTCCTAGCATATACAGTGCTCAGCATAAATGCATACACCCCTTTTGAACAGCAAGATTCTAATTAATATCTCAATAAACACAAGAACAATATGCAAACTTTTGACACAACTGATTGTCAGAGAACATTTGTTTAGCTCATAACATGAAAGTAAAGTTAATAATATAACTTAGATTACAAAATCTTCAGTTTTACTCAAAATTAGTTGATGCAAAAATGAATACACCCCCCAACAAAAACTACTTCATCTAGTATTTTGTATGACCTCCATGATTTGTAAGCACAGCACCAAAGCACCAAGTCTTCTAGGCATGGAATGAACAAGTTGGTGACAAATCTCTCTGCATTGATCAAGAACGACCTCTTTTAGAGCCTGGATGCTGAATGGAGAGAGATGCTCAACTTGTCTTCAGAATTCCCCATAGGTGTTGGATTGGGTTCAGATCAGGAGACATGCAACAGTGGCCTTAGATGTGTGTTTTAAATCATTATCATGGTGGAAAAGTGCACGACGATCAACGGCACGGAGTTCTTCTCTTTCAATATAGAGCAGTACATCTGTGAATTCATGATACCATCAAGGAAATGCAGCTCCATGACACCAGCAGCACTCATGCAGCCCCACAGAGGGACACTGCCACCACCATGTTTCACTATAAGTACCATGCATTTTTCTTTGTACTCCTCACCTTTGCAAAGCCATCAGTTATGTTGGTCTCATTACTCAAGATTACAGAGTCCCAGTAGTCTTCTTTTTCAGCGTGGGCCCTGGCAAATGCTAGGCGGTCTCTTTTGTGCATGGGCTTTAGGAGAAGCTTCCTTTGTGGACGACACCCATGCATGCATGCCATTTCTCTGCAGTGTACGCCATATTGTGTCACGGGAAACATTCACCCCAGTTTGGCTTTCTACTTCTGCTAACTGCAATGAACTTGCATGGCGATTTTCTTCAACCTTTCTCATCAGAAAATGCTCCTGTTGAGGTGTTAACTTCCATGGATGGCCTGGACATCTCTGTGAGATAGTTGCAGTTCCATCTTTGTTAAATTTTGCCACAGTATTCTGATAAGTAAAGCTTTGCTGATCTTCTTGTAGACTTCACCTTTCTTGTATAAAGAAATTTTCTTTCTCCGGCCTTGTGACACTTCTCTTCCATGTGGTGCCATTGCTGACAGCATAAAAGTGGAGGGGTTTTCTTTGTTAAGTAAAGCCCTTTTATAATCAGCTGTCTGCTGGACACCTGTTTAATGAAGAATTAGACTCACCTGTAGTTGAATTCTTGTTTTACACATGGGGGTGTATTCATTTTGTTTGCAATCAATGGCTCACATTTGTGTGGGAGTATTTTATAGTATTGTGTCCCATAGAAAATGTGGATTCTGAAAGGAAAGTAAAGGTGTTCTGGCAAATCTGTTGGGTTGCACTCATTTATGCTGAGCACTGTATTTAGAAAAGGTACGGATGGTATCACACTAAAGCTGTAGGTAAAATCTAAACAACTCTGCTCGATCAAGTGAAAAAAAATGTACGTGTGTATATATATATATATATATATATATATATATTTATTTATTACACACACACACATCAGCCATAACATTATAACCACTGCCAGGTTAAAGCAAAACTCCGGGCAGAAACGTCTTTACATGTCCTTGTTGCTGATTTCCTACCTTCACTGATTATGTCATCCATCTTCTGGTTCACTCAGTATTTGCTCTGAAATATCCTATTAATTTTCAAATCAAACCTTTAATTCTCTTTTATTTCCTGATTGTTAAACCGGTGCCTGCTATGCCTCCTATTCCCCCAGCCACTGGTCTTGGCACATCCCTTCTGTAGTTCTTTCTCCAGGAAGCAGTGATGTAATTCTGTCCCACTTCCAGTGGTGGGCGGACCCGAGACTCTCAGACACATTCAACGTGTACAGGCCTAGTGCACACACCCACATTCACTACAATTCCCTGTGGTTGATGGGAACTGTAGTTTCCTTTTACTGCAGAGAAAGAGAGAAGAGAGGATATGACGTAATCCCTGCTGTTACACCTCCTCCTTGTCAGAGCAGATGTGGTTATCTTTTGAATTAAAGAGATGAAGTCATGAAAATTCTATAAGAATTTTCTCCTAAATGGTAAGGATTTTCAAAATGTTATTAATTTTTAGTGTTTTGTAGGGGAGGTGTACTAATTGGTGATTTTTTATTTTGCCTATCCTTGAGTTCTTCTTTAAGTGTATAACATTGATTATCGCATTACAATGGCATTTGAACATGGGTGGGATATATTAGGCAGCAACAACTAAACAAGTTGGCCCTGCAGATGTGTTGAAAGCAGAAAAAATGGGCATCGTAGGGTTTTTTTTTTTTTTTTGGGGTCTATGGTACTGCATAGCCACAGACTGGTCAGGGTTCCCATGCCGACCCATGTCCACAAGCAAAAGGACCTATGAGCATCAGCCCTGGACCACGGAACAATGGAAGAAGATGGCCTGGTCTGATGGATCAAGTTTTCTTTTACATCATGTGGATAGTCAGGTGCGTGTATGTCGCTTTCCTGGGGAAGAGATGATACCAAGATGCAGTATGGGAAGAAGGAAAGCCGGAGGAGGCAGTGTGATGATTTGGGCAATGTTCTGCTTGGAAACCTTGGGTCCTACCATTCATGTGGATGTTACTTCACATGTACCACCTACCTAAACATTGTTGGTGACCAAGTTCACCCCTTCATTTAAACAACATTCCCTGATAGCAGTGGCTTCTTTCAGCAGGAAAATGTGCCCTGCCACACTGCAGGTTCAAGAATGGTTTGTGGAACACAATGAGTTTGAGGTGTTGAATTGGCCTCCAAATTCTCCAGATTTTAATCAAATCGAACATCTGTAGGATGTGCTGGAAAAACAAATCCAAGCCATGGAGGCCCCACCTCACAACCTATAGGACTTAAAGGATCCGCTTCTGACTGCTTGCTGCCAGATACCACAGCATACCTACAGAGATCTAGTGGTGTCAATGCGGCGGGGGTTCCAGGCTGTTTTGATGGGAAAAGGGGGGGGCTTACTCAATGTTAGGTGGGTGGTCATAACGTTATTACTGATCACTGTGTATGTGTGTGTATATACATAAACACACGCACACAGTATACACATACATAAACACACACATATAGTATATACATACAGGTGAAACTCAAAAAATTTGAATATTGTGCAAAAGTTCATTTATTTCAGTAATGCAACTTAAAAGGTGAAACTATTATATGAGATAGACTCATTACATGCAAAGCAAGATAGTTCAAGCCGTGATTTTTGTCATAATTGTGATGATTATGGCTTACAGCTCATGAAAACCCCAAATCCACAATCTCAGAAAATTAGAATATTACATGCAATCAATAAAACAAGGATTGTACATAGAACAATTGTTCAACAGTTCTTGGTTTGGGCCCCTTTTGCAGCAATTACTGCCTCAATGCGGCGTGGCATGGAAGCTATCAGCCTGTGGCACTGCTGAGGTGTTATGGAAGACCAGGATGCTTCAATAGCGGCCTTCAGCTCTTCTGCATTGTTCGGTCTCATGTCTCTCATCTTTCTCTTGGCAATGCCCCATAGATTCTCTATGGGGTTCAGGTAAGGAGAGTTTGCTGGCCAATCAAGTACAGTAATCCCACGGTCATTGAACCAGGTTTTGGTGCTTTTGGCAGTGTGGGCAGGTGCCAAGTCCTGCTGGAAAATGAAGTCAGCATCCCCATAAAGCTCGTCTGCGGAAGGAAGCATGAAGTGCTCCCAAAATCTCCTGGTAGACGGCTGCGTTGACCCTGGACTTATATATTAGTTTCACCTTTTAAGTTGCAATACTGAAATAAATGAACTTTTGCATGATATTCTACTTGGACAGGGGGATGTAGTTTTCCCCCAGAGGAAGCTACGAGTCCCTGTAGCGTAACGCGTAGGGGAGGGGCGGTGACGTCATCACGCATCCACAGAGGAACGGCGAGATATTCGAGTGAACACACACACACACCTGCAAGGCTGTTTGCAGGAGGATTTGGATACATTATATACAAAGCGCTACTTTTACTTATACCATGTGTGAGTGGGAGATCAGAAGCTCAATAAACAATTGTTACCCAGGATAAGACACTATGTTTCTTTTTCCCCTTCTCTGTATGTATCGGCTATGGAGGAATAAGTCAAGCAGCTAGAGGAGAAAGTTCTTATTGAGAAAGCTGTATTGAGGAGAAAGGAGAGGAGGAAGGAGAGAGAGGTTTATGCCATGAACATTGACCTACTACGCAGATTAGATTGAACTACAATACCATCTCAATTCGTATGAACTGAACTGTCATTCCCATTTTAATTTTTTCTAATTTTTTCATTCTTTTCATTTTATTTTATTTTTCATATTTCACTTTGTCATTTATATATTTTTTTCACTTTTTATTAGTTTTTTGCACTCATTTAAAAATATTAATTGATTATTTTTTTAATTTATTTATATATTTTTATATCAATTATGGATTCAAGTATTATGGATTTAGAATATTATTGAATTATTGGTGTTACACTCCAGCTATTTACAATTTATCATAGCACTCATAGTTATATATATTGGAGCGCGGTACAATATTGATATATAATGTACATACATGAACACACACACGGTATGTACATACATGAACACACACGGTATATACATACATAGACAAAGACATCTCGGTATCTAGGTCAGAAATCACACACAATGATGTGAATAAATCTTATAAAACTCTCCAAATCTCGGTGGGAGGAGCCCATCACCAAGGATACCCCTTCCATAACACTGTGTACTCAGGCCCTGCAGGCCTCTATTTTTTCAGCAGCCATCAGTAAGAATAGATGGGGGATGCCTAGCTCCTGTCCCGCTGGAGCTTCTCTCCCTGCCGGGCTGGGGCCCTCCTCCTTCCCCTCCTGTGTGGCTGTGTGTCCCCCCCAGCCTGCACTCACCTGACCTCACCGAGCTCCGGCTACACAGCATACCCAAAGCACAGCCTCCATGATAGAGCGGAGTATGCCGGGAGATCAGTGTAACAGTACTCTGCATTGGTCAGCCGGCTCCGGCTTCTGATTGGCTGTACAGACCGGAAGCCGCTCACATAGGGAGCTCTCTGTACTGTACTGTGTGCTGATGGTCCTCGTTCTACTGGCTAAAATATTGATTTATTCCAGCCATCAGCTTTCATTTCATTGGGTTTATACATATGTATGGGAGTACATGTGTATGGGAGTACATGTGTGTATGGTGTATGGGAGTACATGTGTATGGTGCATGGGAGTACATGTGTATGGTGCATGGGAGTACATGTGTATGGTGCATGGGAGTACATGTGTATGGGAGTACATGGTGTATGGGAGTACATGTGTATGGTGTATGGGAGTACATGTGTATGGTGTATGGGAGTACACATGTATGGTGTATGGGAGTACACATGTGTATGGGAGTACATGTGTATGGTGTATGGGAGTACACGTGTATGGGAGTACATGTGTATGGTGTATGGGAGTACACATTGGGAGTACAGGTATACATTGTTCTTGAAACCCCTCTCTCGGCACAGGTTTAGTGCAGTTTTTTTTTTGTGCTGCTGATCTCGGCTCTACAATACTCCTGTAAATGACACACTGTGGTTGAGTTACTAAAGCTGGAGCACTCAGAATCTGGCGCAGCTGTGCATGGTAGCCAATCAGCTTCTAACTTCAGCTTGTCCAATTAAGCTTTGACAACAAAACTTTCTGTACCTAGATGCATTAGAAAATGTACAGCTGCTTTCAGAAGTGGCGGACACCTCCAGCAGCATCATTTTTCCTGCCTGTGTGCATGAGGCTTTAACCACTTGAGGATCAGACTTTAGCCGAATGATGGCTACAGCGCAGTTGTCTAATTCTGGGAGCTTGTCATATGACGTCCTCCAGAACCACGGCTCCCAGCAACCCCTGGGGTGTGCGCCCGTGAGCTCTGCAATCATTGTGTCCTTTGGACACAGCTGGTCACATGACATGGTAAAGGGCCAATCACAGCACCCTTTTATTACGTGATCATTGTCCAGTGTCATTGGACACAGCTGATCACCATGTAAATACAGTTACCAGGTATCAGCTGCACTTTCCTCACACTGTGACAGAGCCAGTAATCAGCAAGTGTATTTACACATCAGAGGACATCAGTGCACTCCCAACAGTGTCCATCAGTGGTACATCCCCAACAGTGTCCATCAGTGGTACATCCCCCAACAGCGTCCATCAGTGGTACATCCCCAACAGCGTCCATCAGTGGTACATCCCCAACAGCGTCCATCAGTGGTACATCCCCAACAGCGTCCATCAGTGGTACAGCCCCAACAGCGTCCATCAGTGGTACAGCCCCAACAGCGTCCATCAGTGGTACAGCCCCAACAGCGTCCATCAGTGCAACTATTCATTGCCCTTCTGTGCCACCAGTTAGTGCCATCTATCAGTGACCTTCCGTGCTGCCTCATCGCTGCCACCTCATCAGTACAGCCTATCAGTGACCATCTGTGCAGCCTCATCAGAACACATCGGTGAAGGAGAACAATTACCTGTTTGCAAAATTTTATAACAAATGAAGAAAAAAAATTTATTTTCAAAAGTTTTGGTCTTTTTTTTTGTTTGTTTAGCAAAAAATAAAAAAAAACTCAGTGTTGAATAAATACCAACAAAAGAAAGCTCTATATGTTTAAAAAAAAATTATAAAATGTCATATGTGTACAGAGTTGCATGACTGCACAACTGTCATTCAAAGTACGACAGAACTGAAAGCTGAAAATTGGCCAGGGCAGGAAGGTGGTGGAAGTGACCGGTAGGCAAGTGGTTAAAGATTTCAATCTAGTATATTATATCTTTTAATTATCTAACAAAAATTTAATAATATTTTAAGAGGAGCTCCAGTCTCCCCCCAAAAATTAAAAGTCAGCAGCTATAAATCCTGTAGATGCTGACCTTTGATATAAGGACACTTGCCTGTCCAGGGATCCAGTGATGTGCTCTCCTGAGTCAATTCTTCAATCAGCTTTGGATGCAGACGCCGGCATCTTAGGTAAGGGAAACCCTTCCTGCTTCATAGCCAGTTTCCTACTGCAGATGCGCAAGTTTTGCTGCGTGAATGGTCCCACAGTCTTCTGGGACCTGTGATGTATCCTAAAAGATTGCGGAGGAGGCGCTGATTGTTGCCGCAGGATCTGACTGGAAGTGGGAGCTAGTACTTGTCAAAAGCAGGTACCTCCCCCCCCCCCCCCCCCGAAAAAAAGTGCCAAATGTGGCATTGGAGGAGGAGGAGGATGAAAACCAGCAGAACTTCCCCTTTTGGATGAAGTTCCGCTTTAAATATACGCAGTAACAATATTGTATTAAAGTAAAACTAAAGGCAAAACTTTTTTTTTTTTTTTTTTTAAGTGGAGATGGGTTAGAACACCTATTTGGTTTTTATCGCTGTCTGTGTCCTCGTTCGGGAGATTCACCTTCTCTAGTTGTCCTATTTACTGTTATCATTAAAAGTAAAAGAAAATCCCAGATTGTGGGTTGTTCCCTGAAAAGTAATAGAAGGGAAATCTTTGGCTCCATACACACTGGCCGTTTTTTAATAAGTATGGTAACGTTAGCTGTGTAAAGTCATGTTAAAAACATGAGGTTTTTTTAGTGTTTTTTACATTAGCGTTTTGTCACATTTTTTAGCATGTTTTTATCAAAAAAAAAATATTTTTTTTGCTCATAAAAGTCCAAAAAACACCAGTTTTCTGCGTTTTGCCACGTTTTCCAGCATTTTTACAGCTAAAAAACTCCTCTAGAAACCCACTAGTTCTGGGTTTTTTTCCAGTCAAAACACGCCCCTGCCAAAAAACACTGATTACAGTCTCTGTGTACATGGACACATAGGATAACATGCTGGGGAGTTTACTGGCTGTAGTAAAAAAAAAAAAAAAAAATCCAAAAACAGACGCTGTAAAAACATCCCATGTGCATGAGGATTTCCAATGAGAATACTAGCTCTGGGAACCTGGGGTAACCAAGGATTTCCCTTAATTTGCAGGGATTTCCTCTCATTTCCTGTTTAGCTATGGGACAGGAAGTGAAGGTAAATCTCCCTAATGGGACATGGCAAAGAAAAAAAAAATTATGACGGGGGTCATAACCCTCCCTTACTCTATCCAAAATGAAAAAAAAAAATTGCCTATAGTTCTACTTTAATTTTGAACAAATTTTGGTGACTGCAGCAAACAGAGAGCTTACACCCTTGACCACCGTCACAGTGCTGACCATTCAGAAGCCATCTAGCCTGTACTGTCATCCCTGCACTGAGAGGAGACAAAGTCATAGGGATTACAAATCTTTGTGGCTTTCTCTCCTCTCCTTGCAACTGCATGCAGCAAGTAGGGAGGAAAAACAGCGCAAAATCGTGGACAGAGTTCTACAGCTGAGAATCCAGTGTAACAGATAGAATAGGAAGTGACGCACGTGAAAGTGTTTTTGCGCTCTTGGATTGTTAAAGCACATTTTATTCTGATTTATGTGAATGCAATATTTTTAAATAAATGTGAATAATTTTAAAAGTTTAATGTACCATATGAGGGGTTCTTTTTAAGCATGAACGAGATGATGTGGCTTATCGAAGGTAGAAGGGGTGCTTCTAATACACCTAGGCATTGAATAAAAAGGAGAAAAGGGAAAAGGAGTGTCTCTAAGGAGTGAAGGAGAAAGACAGATATTATGCATACACATAATTATTAAAGAAAATTGGAGGTGAGAGTTCTGGGAGCACTAAGGTGGTACAAAATTGCACGAAGTGGATCTTAAGCACGGGCACTTTTTAGAACCATTGGTGTTGGTCACATATATGATATATGGACTGATTGATTGAATTTATTGATTTGCATATTATTGCTATGGGCCTATTTATTTAAGCGCTCTATTTCTTCACGGGAATATGTAATTTAATAAGAAAAATGTGTTTGTTTTATTTTACATTGCATATGTTTTGATGTGTTGGTTTTAGATAGCAGCACTGCATCACTTTTATCACTTTAGTCCTCATGCACACGGGACATTTTGATAACACTGGTAACGTTAGCTGTGTAAAGTCACATTAAAACCGTGAGTTTTTAAGGTTTTTTTAACGATTTTTTAGCTTTTAGCGGTGTTTTCTTGCTTTTGCATTTTTAGCGTCCAAAAACGCAGTTTTTCAGTGCTAGAGCATTTTTACAGCTAAAAAAACTTCTCTAGAAACCCACTAGTTCTGGGGGGGTTTTTACAGCCAAAAAATGTTGATTACAGTCTATGTGTGCATGGACACATAGGATAACATGCTGGGGGGTTTACTGGCTGTAGGAAAAAAAATGTCAAAAGCCAAAAACAGCCGCTGTAAAAATGGCAAGTGTGCATGAGGGCTTATTGCTCAGAAATAATTGGTCTGGTAAAAAGTCTTCCACAGCTGATCGACTTCCTAACACTGAAATCAATGAAAATCTAGGTAAATTGATCACATGGAGGGTTTAAAGTTTATGATTCTTATTCAATTTGATCATTTTAATTGCATTTAATGATCATATTGAGCCCCTAAAGTGTGCTACATTACTAAGCAAAAAGTTCCCATATGATGTAATCTTTAGGCTCACTTCAGATTGGCGGCAGTGCTTACCACCATTACAGCAGTGGATTGCTTTTCAGAGGGCAGTAGAGCAGCACCAGAGGCAGGCACTGCTGCAACCTCCTGATGACTGTTTTTTTTTTTTTAATTACTGAAAGGCAGTTTTTACATGGAGTTAAAAATGCCATGGATGCAGCATGTGTACAGCCCTTTCGGGCTGTAATATTTGGAAGCAGGTGGGCGGCTAGGGAGGCAGTAAACCTGCAGCTCAGCCTCTCTCAGCCACCCATCTGAAATAGCCCTAAGGCTGGATTGACACTTTAGCGTCTCTAAGCATTTTTCATGCGTTTTCATACAAGGTTTGTCAGGCATTTTTACGCTTTGGCTTTTTTCTCTTTTTTTAAGCCAATAG